ATGTATATTCTAGGTTAGAAGCCTAAACGTCGAATTTGTGGGTTGAGAGACGGTAACCTTCAAGACATTGGTACACCTTCTTCCAATGTACGCATAGCCAGTGCAGCTAGATGAAGATGGTGCAAAGGATGCAAAATAAGCTAAAGGTTGTTGAAAAACAATTCAATTCTACATTGCATTCTTGTGATTATTCTATGCATTAGATATATATGTGGTAAAGTTCCCGACTTTGCTGTATCATTTTTTATACCAATGTCAATGGAGGATAATGCTAATGAGGAAGATGATGCTACTGAGTGCGAATAGAATAACTTTGATGATGAACACAACTTTAATGAGGATCAACAACATATCTAATTCATGATAATGAGAATTATATTTTTTTAGTTGCATAACAATAGATACAATGTATGGTTGTTGTACTCTTTTTACATTTAGATGTAGCCATAATTAGTGAATGATTTTTAGTTATGTTTGGTGGAATATTTTGGATTCAACTATACATTGATTGACACTAAGTATCTTAATTAATTTATTGTCTTTTTGCATATCGAGAAATCAAATTACACAATCAAATTGCAATGCCTCCATGAGGCCCTTCGCTAAAAATACGCATCAATAGACGTTCGTCTTTCATAAATATTTCTATTGACTACATTCTTAACCAAATTCTTAATTAATTTCTCAACAGACTGCAGTAGTGTTGAAGGAGATTCTAGTGTTCCAATTTCACCTTTTTAAATTTAGGTTTGAATTATTTTTTCTAATTTCACTTTGTGTGAAACTTTATTGTCAAAATGGCTTACCTAATTTAAACTTGATTTCTATGATACCCTAATATAATAATTTTTCACTTCATTTTTACAGTATTTTAATAGATTATAACTTAATAGTGTTGTTATATTACCATGGATAAAGATTGGGTACACTTATCAAGGTTATCTTGTCATATTAAATTTAGAATATTTTAAAATATGTCTTCAAATGCTTTTTAGATGACTTATTTAGCATTTTTTTCATAGAGTTTCATAGGCATATCAACGTGGTGCAAGCAAATTTGCAAATATGGCGCAAGCCAACGTCAAAAATCCATAAAAAGTCATACGCCCTTGCAAATGTTGCAAAAACTTATTCCACCAACATTTTCATATAATGTATGGACATTTGATCATTAATGGCATGGATCCTACATATACTACCTGGGTGTTTTATGGGAAAAAATCGAATGCAGCATCATTGCCTTTTCAAGTTATAGAAAATATAGAGATGTATAGGATGTACAGAGATGCATTTTTTTAGAATTATAATAGTGTAGAACTCGAGAATGAAGATAGAAAGAAAGATATTTCAAATTTATAGGAGGGTGTAGAAATTCTTCCATATCTTGGTTGCACAAAGTATACAAGTATATTTGCAACTGTTGTCTTATACAAGCTTAAAGCTACATATGGTATTCCTGAAAATGATTTCAATGAACTTCTTAATATTATCCGAGATATACTACCACATGGGAATACCCTTAATTAAAAGGTTATTGAAAACCTTTGACTTGGGGTATGAGAAGATACATGCATACGTAAATGATTGTTGTTTGTTTAGAAATGATCTAGAGAATTTGGAGACATGTCCAAAATGTGCATCTTCGTTGTGGAAAGTTAATAAACGGTCTAAAAAGATTCAAAAAGGGATACCTGAAAAGGTTTTGTGATATTTTCCGATTATACCACGATTTAGAAGAATATTTAAGTCACTTGATAAGGTAAAACACTTAATATGGCACTCAATTCACAAAAGTCTAGATGGGGAAATGCATCATCCAATTGATTCATTAGCTTGGTAGAGAATTGATAAAAAAAGGGCCTTGTTTTGCATCTGAACCACAAAATCTTAGGCTTAGCCTTTCTTCTGATGGATTTAATCCCTTTGGTGACCTAAGTTCTAGGTGTAGTTGTTGGCCAGTGATACTAGTTATATATAATCTCCCTCCTTGGATATGCATGTCTAAGGAAAATTTGTTGTTGACTTTATTAATCCTAGGTCTTGAGCAACCTGAAAATGATATAGATGTGTATCTAGAACCACTAATAGAAGACTTAAAGGAGTTGTGGAATATTGATGTAGAAGTATATGATGGATTTACCAATCCACTTTCAATTTAAAAGCTGTGCTGATGTGGACAATTAATGATCTTCCGACTTATGGGAACTTATCAGGATATCTTACAAAAGGCAAAGTAGCATGTCCAATATGTGTTTTATCCACATGTGCAAAATGGTTGACTTATAATCCAAAGTTTTTGTACAAATGTTATAGAAGATTTCTTGCATATAATCATACTTATTGGTCAAAAGAAGCTTGGTTTGATGGAAACAAGGAGCATAGACCTAGTCCTAAAATATTAACTGGTCGAGAAGTGATGTGCTCAATCAACAATGTTAGCAATAATTGGGAAAAATAGGAAAAAAGGAAAGATGAAAAATCAGATTCCAATTGACCATGGATAAAAAAAGTCAATATTTTTTGAGCTACCATATTTGAAGGTTAGTGATTTTAAACTATTTTGAATTTTTTATTTACTTAGACTTTTTTAAAAATTTATATTGTCATTTTTCAAACACTACTTTTGCACCATAATTTGGATGTAATGCACATTGAGGAGAATGTTCGCGAAATCATTCTTGGCACTATTTTGCGTGTGAAGGGAAAATCAAAAGATGGGTTAAATTCCCTTAAAGATTTACTCAATATGGGTATTAGAAAGGACCTTCATCCAGAATTGAAAGGAAATATATATTACCTCCCCGCAACATCATATATGACATCCAAAAAAGAGAAAGAGTTATTCTGTGAGAGGCTATTTGATTTAAAGTTACCTGATGGTTATAGTTCTAACATTTCAAAGTGTGTATCATTAGCAGATAATAGGACTTTAAATCTAAAGTCACATGATTGCCATGTGCTCATACAACAATTGCTATCAGTTCCATTAAGAGGACTAAGAAATGCAATTTTTCGATGAAATATGTTAAAGAGTCATCGATAAAAATAAATTAGAAAAACTTGAGGAGGATTTTGTTGTGACTTTGTCTATGCTAGAAACCCTTTTTGACATAATGATTCATTTAACAATCCACCTTGAGCGTGAAGTTCGTATTGGTAGACATGTACAATATCGTTGGATGTATCCATTTGAGAGATAAATTACTATTATACTTTTGTAAGTATTCAAACTTTCTTCTTCTAATTACTTAGATATCTAATGCGTTTTATATGATTAATTGGGTTTATAAAAACACTTAAAGGATATGTTAGAAATCATTCAAGACTCGAGGTCTGCATAGCAAAGCGTTATTTAGCCGATGAATGTATGCATTTTGGTATTGGTTACATAAAACAAGCTGCTGAAGTAGGTGTTTGACATACTCGAAATGAAGATTTTGAGAATGAAACAATTATTGATGGATTGGAAAGTCAAAGACTTTGAGTCCAGAAATGTTAGGGTCGCTCATCGTTATGTGCAGTTTAACAGCATTGTAGTTGAGCCATACATAATGTAATGAAGCTAGTTAGTTTATTAGTTTAACATTGATTAATATTCTCTCAATCTTCTCTTACATTTATTTATTTATTTTCCTTTAGGATGCATAAAGAGGAGATTAATAATTCAGATAGCCGTATTGGCAAGAATGAAACCTTATTACAAATGAGACATATGGAGACTTTGACTTCTTGTTTTGCAGAGAAAGGCAATCAGGACAATTTTAACATGTTTAATACGTTGAAATGGCTTGCACGGCGGCCTAGATATGATGTGATGTCACATTTTGGTTATGTTATCAATAGATATCGATTTCGTACAACTGATGTTAGTAGAAGTGCACAAAATAGTGGTGTTTCTATTGAAGCACAAACTATTTGTTTGTCTAGTGTGAAGGATATAAGCCATGTAGTTGGTAAAATATCTTATTACGGGGTTATCAGGGACATTATTTTACTAGATTATCATAGTTTTAAAATTCCTATGTTTCATTGTGATTGGGCAAATATAGATAGTGGAGGGGAGTCTAGATTGAAGAAGGATTTACATTGGTAAATCGTCATAAAGGACAATATCTATTTGAAAGAGATTCATTTATTTTAGTTTCACAAGCAAAACAAGTTTTTTATTCTAGAGGGAGCGATACATCTAATTGGTATATTGTATTAAAGGCACCTCCCAGAGGATTTCATGAGTTAGAAAATTTTGATGAGGAGGCTTATACTCCATCCACTTTAGATGCATTAAGACTTGATATGACCGTTGAAGATGAAGGTTATTTAAGACATGATTGTGAGGGCATTAATATTGAATATGGTAGTCGTATATCTTTAAGATTCTTTCTTGCTTTATTTTAATTTACTAGTTCTGTGATATCATATTGATGTTAATGTCATTATTGTCTCTAATTCCATTATTTCTTGCTTTATTTTTATAGATGCAAACGATGAAAGCTGAGTTTTGTTGATGCTGATGTTTACACGAATGGAATAAGATGACATATCATGGTGAAGTAAGTTCCCAGATGGTATATATAATAATTTTTATTAGTAAATTCAAGTAAAATATTTCTTGTTTTTCTTACTTGTTTAATATAGTCATCTAATTAAGGCTATAAAAAGTTAAAACGAGCTAAAAAAAGCTTTAAATGTTGCTGCGACAAGAGAAGATAATGAAAGGATAAGAATATCATAATGAGGTTCTAATTCTGTTTCAAACATACAAGTAAATGATGTGCAACATGATGTAGAACTGTTGTCTAATAGTGTTAGTACTACTGAAAAAGGAAAGAAGGAAAGGGGTCGAGCAAAATTGAATTATTTCAACAAAGGAAAAGGCAAGAAGTTATCAGTAGAGTTTAATGAAAGAGGGCAGCCAATTTGTAAAGGTTCAACAAAGTTATCATCATTTCTTGGGACCACAGCCAGAAAACTTATACCAATTACTTGGAAAAATTGGAAAGATATTTTCTTGATGACATATGGGAGCATGTGCAGGTACTATAAACTTTGCGTCTCTTGTATAATTTAATTTAAATTACTATTAATATTGTGTGCTTTGATGCAGCAAAAGTTTGATGTTGATACTTGTCATAGAAAATACATCATGCAAAAAATGGAAAAGAACTGGCGAGATCATCGATTTAATGTGCTTAAAGCAATCTATGATAGAGGAAAAACAATTGGCATGACACGAGCTGCTGCTTTGCTCAAGCCCGATAATGTTGAATCAATGAAAGAATGACAAGCATTTGTCAAAGAATGCAATTCTCAACCATATAAGGTAAACTTTCATTACTTTTTCCTAAATTGCTTACTACATTTGCTCTATATTCCTAATAAAAGTTATTCTTACAAAGTACTAATTGATGTTGTAGGAAAAGAGTGAAAGATTCAGAAAGATGAGAGCAGGTCAAGCCCTAACGCATTCAACAAGTACAAAGGGCTTTGCTCATTTAGAAGCAGAAATGGTAAAAATTTGTTAAATTAAAAGTTAAATTTGCTTGAAAAATTATAAACACTTATGCTATCACATATATGAAATAAGTAAAATGCAGCATGCTGAAAGTAAAGATACAGATTCCATAATGAGAGATGATGTTTATATTCGAGGACATACGCGGAAAAATGGTGAACCTATTAATGAATCAGTTGGGAAACATTGCTTTTAGTGACTTTTGGTCATTCAGAGTTTATATTTATAATTTTTGCCCATTAATTTATTTCCTTGTATCAGAACAAAATAAAAGCATGTTCAGAGACGGTTACCTCCCCAAGCCAACACTCCCTTAAAGACGATGGTGTTCATAGAGTACTTGGTCCAGAATCGAGAATCGGTAAGAGGTCTAGGTTTCGGTGCAACTCCTTGAAAGTTGAATGCTTTGGTGCACAATCATAACTTGCAAACTCAAGTCCAAGAGTTGAGAGATGAAATTAAAGAATTAAAAGCTTTGTTTCAAATGAAGAGTAAGAGTGATGAACAAGAAGATAATGTAAGTGGAAAACTAGAATTAATGAATGTTATTCTAAATTATATATAATTTCTATATTCAAAATAATAAATTGTACAATTGGATATAAATTTTACAAATTAGGGACAGAAGCTTGGATGGTTCAAATAACCTTCAAAGTAGGAAATGAAAATTGTTATCTTGGTCTGGGAAAGCTCATGTTGTTGCAAAAGGTGAAATTGCATCAACAAATGCAAGTGATTTAGTGCATCATGTATCACTTGGTAATGAATATTGGAGAATTTAGGTTAATGAAGTGATTGATAATGTTAGCTTATATTGTCCTACACATGAGCTTTTTCTTCTTGAAGATGCATTAGGAAGTACAATAACATGGCCAATTAGGTACATCTTTGCTGTAATCACAACGAAGGTATGCTTAACTTCTTTTCTATTTTAACGCAATGCATTAGGCAAGTAATGTTACAATTTAGGTCCTCGCATTCCTATTTTTGTGGGCCTTAACATTTTTAACTATCCATTAATTACTATTGAGAGGAATTTGATCACTGACATCTGATGAAATTTCAGGTGCAGGCAGTTTACAAATGAGTATTGCTGAAGTCTCTCCCAGATCGAGCTTCGCAATGTGACATTCTTCGCGGAGTCCGAGTCTTACCGTAACCATGCTTTCCATGCTTGTGATATTTAGAGAAAGAAGCATTTAGTTATCAATCAAGTTCTCATGTGGTTGGAAAGCATTATTTTGTTTGTAAAATAACTTATTTGTGTTGGTTGAACTTACTTGGTACATTTTATTTATATGATAAATGTTTGGGTTAATTTTTTCCATCTAAGCTTATAATAATTAATTAGCTTAATGTTGTTTATCATGCTAGCTTGTATTCAAAAATATTTTAATTTTCATCTTAGTTGAGTTGTAATTGGATTTGTGTAATTATTTTAGGTGCTAGTAATCAAATAAATAAACATAATGTTAAAAATTAAATTAACATTTAGCACGCGTAAATGCTAACAGGGTTACCTTTCACGGCGTGTGACTGCACCCCCGTTAAAAGTAAAATCTCACATTTATAGCGGGCGTAAAGGTAAAACATTCGTATTTACGGTGTGTACCTGCACGTTGTAAAAAAATCGTATAACTAATAACGGTGTCTGTAAAAGGTGTAATTGTATGCCGTAAAAAGTGGACACTTTTTACGACATTGCTTTATATGGCGTGCAGGCCGCACGCCGTAAAAAGCCCCTTTTGTTGTAGTTAAACACTTGGAAATGGAGATAGTAGACAAGTCAGATGAGTAGGGTTTGATTAAATTGATCGTATGAACTTTATTGTGATTTTGCATCGACGAAAGTTCTATTCCATTTAGAATGCAAGAACACCACAGCAAGAATACAATAGGGTTTGTGGAATTTCTTTCTTCTTCTTCTTCCTTTTTTTTTTTTTGTGGAAATGTATTGGTGTTTTAGGTACTTCAAAATTTTAGGGTTTGTGGAATTTCTTTCTTCTTCTTCTTCCTTTTTTTTTTTTTGTGGAAATGTATTGGTGTTTTAGGTACTTCAAAATTTTAGGGTTTGTGGAATTTCTTTCTTCTTCTTCTTCCTTTTTTTTTTTTTGTGGAAATGTATTGGTGTTTTAGGTACTTCAAAATTTTAGATTTGATTTTGTGTGGATATTGTTACATTATGGAGTATATTAATAATCATTATTAGAGTTGTTTGATATTGTTATCTTTTATTTTGTTTTGTGGTTGATTTATATAAATTGCTTTACAAATAAAAAAATACAAAATTAAAAAAAAATGTAAAATAACCTATGCAATGGTCAACTGCAAAAAGCAAGATTGTAATCATAGACAACGGGCAAAAAATGTTGTCAAAAGGTTATTGGAAACACTGAAAAAATGTTGCGAAAATGTTATCGCAATACTTAAAAAGCGTTGCAAAAAAGTTATTCGCAACTTTAAAAAATGTTGTAAAAAGGTTATTCGCAACATTCAAAAAACGTTGCAAAAATGTTATTAGCATTGCAAAAAAAAGTTGGAAAATGTTTTTTCGCAACATTCAAGGAAGTTGCAAAAATGTTATTAGCAACGATCAAAAAAAGGTTTCAAAAATGTTATTAGCAACACTAAAAAAATGCAGCAAAAAAGTTGTTCCCAGCATTAAAAAATGTTGTAACAATGTTATTAGCAATGCCAAAAAAATATTGAAAAAAAGTTATTTCTAACATTCAAGAAACATTGCAATATTATTATTAGCAGCATTCAAAAAAGTTGCTATATCCTTCTATTCTATGACAACATTGAGATTTGCAATATACGTTCGAACGTTGCAAAAGGTTTTTTTATTGTAGTGAGCAAGAAGTCAACATTAAAAAGGTTGCAAGTCGATATTCAAGATTTAAAGCGATGGATTGAGGTATGTTCACATTTATTATTACTCTTGGTGTTTTGACATGGATAAATTGATAGTAGATATAAGCTTTCATAATATTTGTTGTTTATAAACTTTCTAAAATATAGACTTTCAATATTTTTACATTGTTTGAGTAAATAGGATAATAATGAACACATGCTTCGTAGAACTCCATCAAATAATATAATGGTAGACAAGATTTGATAATATCACTAATTACCAAAACCACCACATGAGAATATTTAGAAGGCTCTAGATATATAACTTGATGATTTGATCAACACTCAGAAAACTAAATTCTATCCAAAAATTCAAAATAGTAAAATCACCACATTTTATTTTTAATCTCATAAATTTATCATAAGCGAGAATTATCAAACACGATTATCCATGATATTCAAATGAAAGAAAATCTATGAACCAACACTTGCTCAAAAAAGTCTTTAAAGTTGAAATTATCGAAATTTTGCAATAACACATTTAGGTAATTACAGAAATTAAAATTGTTCTCTCTTTTCATGTAAGTCAATTTTTATCCCTTAAAGTCGATACAAGAAAATTATTTTTACTAACCAAGATGAAAAACTTTAGCACATTCAATCACTTGAATAGTTTTCAATTAGAACGCATGAAGAGGCTAGTAAATGATAATTATTGATTTCAAAGAAAATGATAGTAGCATTAGGCTTACACGGTAAAAATTGCTTTTTGATTGTAAATATAAGTAGTAATAATAAAGAGTTTGTTAATTATGAATTGTAAATATATGATCTCGAGTTTTCAAGAACAAGGAAAAAGTAGAGAAGTAAAAGAGTCTTGAATATTGGAATTTTATTCTTATTTAGTAAAAACTAGATAAAATATGAAAATATGAAATTTCTTTAAATTTTTGTAGGGCCTTCCTTGAATAAGGGACCTTAGGTGACCGCTTGAATTACCGATATGATTAAGTTGACTTCCACAATTATAACTTATGTAACTCATAAGGGTTTTAACACGACATTCAAAAGATATAAAAAATTTAATTTAATAAATGAAGTACTGGGGAATTTTATTGCCAACCGTATTCTTTTGTTTCTACCTCCCCACGAAGAAAATAGATACCATCACTTCTTTCTTTCTGGATGCAATGATTACTTAGGCAATCAAGTTTCAATTTTGCATTAAAAACTTCAAATGTTTGATTCTTTGGACCCCACCATAGATGGCAGAAAAACCATGTAACTCCGAAAAAGTGATCACAAAACCTCCACTTGAGTGCTTGATTTACATAAAGTGTGTGATGTCCAATATCATCGTTTCCCGATGAACGGTGCAACCGCAACGGCTAGAGTTGGGTGGCAGTTTATTGAAGACGTCCACCTCAAAATAAGCAGTAAAACAAATTGCAACTACATGGGCAAGCATGTGTAAAGATCATCAAATGCGTCCTTTGAATAAATAATTCTCCTAATGCAAGTGCATTATAAGCTACTAAGTGATAAGTGATTTTGTACATTTATCTAGTCTATTAAATTGGAGTATTTATTAGTGATTTTGATTAATTATAGCTTATTTTGTATTAATCTTGTTTGTATAAATAAGCATTTGAGCAAAAAAAAAGGTGAAAAATGAAGAATTCAAAGTTCGGGGAAAATTGCAATTATCCAATATTTGGTTCGGGAGAGAAAATGATGATTGGAGATCTCCTATGATCAATTGGATGAAATTAGGAGTGAATTATTAAAAT